GCATCTAGCATAGTGGTTGTCTCAAAATAAGAACTCAAATTGTAGTCATCATTGGCTTTTATCAACATGATCCCATTTTTTGGAAGTTATGCCCTCTGGAGTAATATAGACTGTATCTAATCCCACAAATATTTGAAGGCAGTTAGCATGACCCTCTAAATCTTTTCTTCTTCAGACTAAATATTCCCTGATTCCTCTACAGTTCTTCCTGTGATGCATTTTGGATGCCTTCATTGCTTTCATTCCCTCCTATTTGTCAATTTCCCCCTTAAAATGTGGTGGCCAAATGTGGTCAGTTCAGCGCGCTGTACAGTGGAGTAATTACTTCCCTTGAGCTGGACATCGCACTTCTTCTACAGCAACCTAGATTTATGTTAGCATTTTTGGAGGCCAGATCACACAGTTGGCTCAAGTAAAACCTGATTCTACTACCCAGAACATAAGCTCTGCCTCCCAACACTGTGTCAACTGCAGATTTGACAGGCGCAATTTTTACATCTTCATCCAAGCTGTTGGTACAAATGCGGAACAAGAAAAGGCCAAAGGCTGAGCCTCGAGGAACACCTCTGATTGTTCCATGCGTATTGACACCCATCCACTGGCTTGATGACACTATTGTACCAGTTCCAAATCTATGTACCTATACTAGCAAAAGTAACTCAGCAAGATGTAGTCACTCGTGTTTTTGAAATTGGATATTTAATTTACCCAGAGGTAAAATGCCATTCTTTTATCAATGAAGACAGGTTTTGAACCCATAATTGGGAAAATGTGAACTCAGAAAATAATTTCATGTTTGAGTTACTACGTAATGCTTAAAGAAAAAAAAAAGATCTTCTCTTAATGTGAAATGATAATGTTTGCCTAATTGTTTATTTTTCCAAAATGTTTTGAAATTACTCCCTCGGTCTGGGGGAAGGAGTGTGGAGAATTTGCAGATTTCATGTGTGGTGGAGAAAAGAGATTATTGAAGAATTAGAATATAACACTTAGGAGCTTTTCCATCTCTGGTTGGGGTCACAGAGACAAAGAGATGTCTTAAATGTTGGTGGGAGAAGGTGTGAGGTATATTCTTGGATAGTTTTTAAAATTCTTTCTTTCTTTCTTTTCTTTTCTTTTTCTTTCTTTCTTTCTTTCTTTCTTTCTTTCTTTCTTTCTTTCTTATTTCCTTCCTTCCTTTCTTTCTTTCTTTCTTTCTTTCTTTTTCTTTTTTCTTTTCTTTTCTTTTCTTTCTTTTTTTTTTTTGAGAGAGAGCGAGAGAGAGAGAGACAGAGACAGAGAGAGCAGGGGAGGGGCAGAGAGAGAGAGGAGTACAGAGGATCCAAAGCAGGCTTCACACTGACAGCAAGGAGCCTGATGTGGAGCTCAAACTCAAGGAACCATGAGATCATGATCTGAGCTGAAGTTGGACACTCAACCGACTGAGTCACCTGGGTGTCCCTTAAAATTCTTCTTAATGATTCTCATTAAAGAAGTAGTTCTTTCTTTCACTTAACATGCTTCCCTCTGAAGAAATCATTTTCTTTGTGCTGCAGCATGGATCAGTTTTTCCTGGTTTTCATGGTGGAGGTGAAGAATGGTTGTTGCCATACTTTGAGCCAAAGTGCTCAAAGATTCAGAGCTCGCCTTTTGGCATCTTCTTCCAAGGGCTCATTTAATATTTTCTCAAAGGCTTTCCTTCTTGTGTACGTCCCATGTTTGTGGCTTTCATCTTAACACTGGTATTTTCTCTTTCTCTAGCCCATAATTGAACAAATACCTTAATATCTAAAGCTCTAATACCATAAGCATGTTCTGAGATCCCGGTAGATGGACAAAAAGTTAGCACTCTCAAAACTGGCCAGGGAATAAAAGACTTCTTCATACTGAATATTTTAGGAATATAATTTTATAGTTTACTCACTCATTCAGTGTTTATTGAGCACTTATTATATGCAGGCACTGATCTAGGCAACAGAGACAATGGGGAGTAAAGTCAAATTTAGTCTCTTCTCACATTGCGCTTATGGCCTTAAGGAAGAAACATGTTAGTCAAATAATCAAAACAATTGTGAACTTGTAAAAAGTACTGCACAGAAGAGGGAGAGGGTGCCCATCACTGGAGAGGTCAGGGAAGTCTTCCTCGCGTGATGCTTAATCTGAGATTTGAAGGTGGAATCAGGGGAAGGGCACAGGTAGCAGAAAAAAACATATTCCCAAGGCCCTGTGCTGAAAGGGAGCATGGGCAGTATGAGGACAGGAACATGCCAATAAGGTGGAGTGAAGAACACAAAGCAAGAGTGAGAGTAGTGTGAGATGAACTGAGAGGTAGGAAGGGTCTCCTACAGGCTTTGGAGATGACACAAAGAGTGCTGTCAATGTCTTCTGAACCATGGAAGCAATCTAAGAAGCCTGTGGGGGTGGTGGCTGGAGGTGGGGCAGTGCAGTTGGGCGGGGAGAATTGTGGGCCATGATCAGTTTTGGTTTTTGAAAAGCTCACCATGCCAGGTGCCTGGGTGGCTCAGTTGGTTAAGCCTCTGACTCTTGATTTCAGCTCAGGTCATGATCTCACAGTTTGGAAGATATCTAGGGCCACATTGTGCGTACCCTCCCCTAGTCTGCCTCCGTGCTCACAGCATAGGCTTGCTTGGAATTCTTTCTCTCCTCTCTCTCTACCCCTCCTTCCACTTGCGCACTCATGCGCTTGCTCTCTCTCTCTCTCAAAACAAACAAACAAACAAACAAACTTAAAAAAAAATCACTGTGACCATATATGGGCAAAAGGAGAAAGGGAAGGCAAAGTAAGTGACAGACCAGTTAGGAGACCACTTTCTAGTCCAGGAAAGGAGATGGAGGTGGTTGGGTGTAGGTTGGCAGGAGGAGAGATAGAAGGATAGAAACAGATCAAAGATGCGTAGGTTGACTCTGCAGTACTTGGGGACTGCATAGGGGGGTGATAGAAGAATAGTGCCGCGGGTAACCCAAGGAAGGTTCATACATTTTATATTCTTCTTTGTCAATTGAAAGATTGTTATTTTAAATTTTAGACTGTGCAGCTCTACTCATAATTTTTGATAGTACAGCGCAACAGAAAATAATTCTAAAAAGAGCCAGAAATCTTTCGGTGCCTCAGATCTATTATTGGCAAAGTAGGTGACTGTGAGCAAGACAAAAACTTGGGAGTCTCTCTGAGGATCCCAACAATGGAGGAAAAAAAATATTTTTAATTGTTGACTTCCTCAAGACCTCATTAAGACCCAGGGAAGTATGTTTGTTAAGGTTCACTTTTTAAAGAAGTAACCCAGTTATTTTATTTTATTATCATTTGAGCTCAATTCGCTACGTCTCTAGACCCTATAAAAAGAACTTAAGCATACCCCTGCACTGCTACTCCAACACAAATCGCCATTTCCTTTCATCTTGCTTTAACCAACCACAATATTTTCCCACGTCAGAAAAACCTTCCAGTGTAAAAGAGGAGCCTTTGGACCGCGTGTGTGTATAGACGACTGTTCATGCCTTTGGGATCCCGCGATAACACAGTCGGCTCACAGTCTAAGCCAGGTGCCCAGTTTCCATCTGGACTCCTGACAAACTGTGTGGTCAGGATTTAGAAATCAGAAATCTGGGAAAGGTGCAACGTGATGGACACAACCACCCCAAATACCATATATGTTATCACCATCATTTAACACGTAGTGCAGGAAATCCTGTTCTTTGCAGAAGAACTTCAAAGAACCACTTCTGGTTCTCCTGGGTAACATTTATTTTTTTCTTTGCTAACCCCAAAGCGCAGACAGATATATATTTTCCCTCCAGTAAATTGCTAGTGACACTCCATTTCTTTTCTGCCATCCTCAACCCATTGTCCAGCTGACCTCTCGAATTTCACTACCCTTCTAAGCTGAAGAGCTGTGCCTAGCTGTTTACAGAGACCCACTTACTTACTTGGCTTTACCCTGCACTTTCCCTTTCTTTTCTAGACTCTGAATTTCTCACCTTTTGGCTCCACCACATTGGTAAGACTTCTGCTCCAGTGAGAATCCTCTTTTGTTTGTCCCAGTGACTTTCTTTTTTTTTTTAAGAAGAACTGTCTTTTAAGACAGCTTTACCTTTCGTGTGTTACCTTACTTTTGAATTTTAAACAAGGAAACCTTCATTCAAGTCATCAGAAATAAGCACAGGCTGTTAGTTCCCTTAAGTGACTCAGATGTCACATTTTGCCTTCACTGGTTTATTCATGCAATGTATGTTTACCTGAGTGCCTACAATGTTCCAAGTACCGTGAGAGAGAGTTATGAACACAAATGTTCTTCATTCTAGAGGACAAGACAGTGAAAAAGTAAATGAATAAGCAAGCATTGTTCTATATTCCGTTATTCCATAAAAATTGTTAGAGATTGATTTTATGGAGATACAGCCGAAAGTTGCAACTTTGGCTCTTGGCATTGGATTCCAGACACCCTGTCATCTCTGCCAGTCATCTATCCTCACTCTCCAGGTTGTTGAGCTTGGGTCATGAGTACCTAGATTATGATTGGGAAAGGTAGTAGTTTCCTGGGAGGGAAAAAAAGTAGGTGGTTGGCCACTCTCATGCGACTGAAAAAGAAACAATAACCTAGTGTGCATGTCATTCAAAGCAGGATGCTGAACAGCTCTTCACTAAATCATAGTATCGTGCACTCACCATGGAAATTATTTTCAAACACAGTATATATCACACCAAGTCAGAGAAGACATGCATCAAATGTCCCTGATAGACACCTTACATCAGGAAGGCGGCAGAGTGATTAGTAAATTTCAGGGTGTTTTCTTATGTGTGTTACTCTTAGGGTAAATAGTTGTTTCTCATCTGCTCATAGCTGTAAGTTATAACAAGATGGATGGACCCATGGCTTGCCAGAAGCCATAACTCTTTATTTAGTTGACATGACCAGATTCCCAATTTTGTCCTCTGAGAGCTTGAGAGTAGCATAAAACATTGACTTCTTCTGACCTTCCCCTCTGTCTTCTCTGGGCAGAATATCTCGATGCATAACACAGTTGGTGGGGCCTTGGCGGGGCCCGGAGCTCACCAGCTTGGCAGCACCCGGATGCCCAACCATGACACCAGCGTTGTGATTCAGCAAGCCATGCCGTCGCCCCAGTCCAGCTCTGTCATCACACAGGCACCTTCCACCAACCGCCAGATCGGGTAAGGAGACTTCCTCGATTGTCTCTGGGTCCTGGCTGGAGCTCAGAGAATATTCTAGACTTTCTCCTTGTTTCTGGTGCTCGGATCGGGTGAGACAGAAGTTGGTGTTCCTGGCTGGTGTGGTACCACCTGGCCCTTAGAGTGATGTTTTTAATGGGAGAAGGGTGGGGAGTCCCCATTTGGTGGACACTTTTGATCCTGGACTTTGCGGGGCAAAGCAAGGCATTCGGTGTCATCGTTTCTTCAGACAAGAGTTGTGAACTTCAAGATGACGGGAGAAAACCCCTTGGGTGTGACGGGGAGCAGAGCATACTTTCAGGACAAATGCTTGAGGATGGTAGAGGGAGGTTTCACCAGCCCACCTTCCTCCCCAACAGAGTGTGTCCCTTTTTTCCTAGGATCTGCTGAGCCCAGCCCCTGTGTCTTCCATGTATTTCCAGTCTTGCGTCCCTCTGATTATTCTTCTTTGCTTCCTTTCCTTGTTAATACCTCTTTATTAGTTCTCCCCTTCCTCTGTGTTGGCCCAGGCTCATTCCTGGAGTAGAAAAAGCAAAAACAGCAAACCCTTTCCCCCTGGCTTATGTAAAAAAGACAGTACTGCGGTATTGAGAGAAGTTGGTAGAAAGGTTGGTTTCGTCAGAATCCCAGACACTCTGTTTATGGGTTGGAAAGAGTTTTCACTTCTGAGTTTCATATGACAGTGCTATCCCCTGCCTACTTGGAGTGTGGTCTGAGGACCAGCAGCCTGGGCATTACCCGCGAGCTTCTCAGAAATAACAGACTCTCTGGCCTGCTTCCTTATCTTCAGGATGATGGTTATGTGTCTTCTTTCCACCCTCGCAGGAGTAGAGTGAAGAGGAAATCGAATATTTAAGAGTAGTCAAGTTCCTAGGAAGAAAAAGTAGTAACTTAAGCCAAAGAGCTCTGATAAATTTATATTGTTGAAAGCTGAGAACTGCTTGCTGTATGTTCCCACAATCCTCTGTTTAAAATAGGATAGGGAGCTTGCTGTATTTGGTATGTGCATCAGAATTCAGTGTGAATATTCAGCTGAATATTGGATATGGTGATTTAAAACAACAACAACAACAACCCAAAGCAGACCTGCAATGTGCCAATGTGTCTTGCCCCCTTTGTTTTTTAAAAGATTTTATTTTTTAAATTGTTTTTTTAATATGAAATTTATTGTCAAGTTGGTTTCCATACAACACCCAAGTGCTCATCCCGACAGGTGCCCTCCTCAATGCCCATCACCCACTTTCCCCTCCCTCCCAACCCCCCATCAACCCTTAGTTTATTCTCAGTTTTTACCAGTCTCTCAAAGACTTTATATTTAAGTAGTCTGTACATCCAGTGTGGGCTCCAACTTAAAACCCCCAGATCCAGAGTCACATGCTCCACGGACTGAGCCAGCCAGGCGCTTTCCCCTTTGTTTTTCATGTTTGTAGGAATTTCAGATCAAGAGTGAGCATGGGCTGGGGCGCCTGGGTGGCGTAGTCAGTTAAGCATCCGATTTCAACCAGGTCACGATCTCACGGTCCGTGAGTTCGAGCCCCGCGTCGGGCTCTGGGCTGATGGCTCAGAGCCTGGAGCCTGTTTCCGATTCTGTGTCTCCCTCTCTCTCTGCCCCTCGCCCGTTCATGCTCTGTCTCTCTCTGTCCCAAAAATAAATAAACGTTGAAAAAAAAAATTTAAAAAAAGAGTGAGCATGGAGAACAACATCAGCTTATTCCTCCTTAGACTGCTTTAGAAGGGGTGCCTTGTCTCCCACATTTCTCAACCTATCAGATGGGTTGTGATTTGTGAAGACCCATCTTAACAAATGGGAGCTGTGGGCAGTGATGGTTTCATGAGCTTGCCGTGGGTACATTTGGTCTCCCATTTAAAAAAAAGAATATTAATCTGGCCATTTGAATGCTTGACTTTGTTGGAAGAAGCCAATGCTAAATTAGCTAGTAGCCCTGTTAAATATTTCTTTTCTTTTCAAATGACCGTGGGAGCAAATACTGCCACCATCTAAAGCAAGAACCTATAATATACTATGAGGGTGGAGTGGGTTCTTTAAAGACAGCATCTAAATCTCAAGGCACTCCTTCACTCTAGTGGTTTGGCTTTGGGCAGACAATTCACAGTTAGGCCAGCTAATCATAATTATTTTATTTTTCTTTCAAGGGGAAAAAACATAAAATGTGTTAGAGTTTACTAGCAGTTTTATAACATTCCTTCCCCCCTGGAGTTCTGCCTCCCCCCTCGCCCCCACCCCAGCTACCCTCTTGGAGGCCCTTAGCATTCGGCCATTGTTAGTACAATGCTGGTTTTTGTGAAACAATCTTTTAAGGGTTAGCACTGAATCCTAAGATGCGTGTTGACTCTGTCAATAATTTACCCGGCTGGCCCAGGGCTGTACAGTTGGGTGACATTTCTAGGCCGTGTCACCGTGCCTGGGTGGGTGGGAGTGTTCCTCTGGTACATGCGACCTCCCAGCCCACTCCGTCTTCTCATTTACTCCTGCATGTCTCTCCTGGTGCGTTCTAGGAGATAATTGTCACTTTTAGGACTCTGTCTCATTGCCAGGCTTGAGGGAGGCTGTTCCTTTTCTTCAGATCCTTCCCTGTCGTGCTTACCATGTTGATTCCAACCCACACATCCTGTCATCTCCATTTTCTCCATGTGACCCATCTAAAACCTTGCCCGGATGGCCGTGGGGGCTCAGCAAGGAACAACCCAACCCATCTCACCAGTGGATTCAGAATGAAACTCTAGGTGGTAACATTTGGGGATGGTTGACTCTTTTATTTCTCGCAGCAAAGAGGAAATGAGTACTTATTTTAAAACATGAGTTCCCTCTGGAGACTGTGTCTTTAAATGAGCATTTGAAATTGCAGATAGTTTTTTTTTTTTTCTTGAGACTGCACAGAACCATATTGTAGTAATATTCTGATTTTTATCACAACCTCAAATATTTAAGTGTCAAAATCTGGCCAAGCCACCTGCAAATGTTTGCCATGGCTACTGGCCAACAAAAACAGCAAACAGCAATGAAAGTCTTCATTCAGGCTCAGCGCTTAAGCTGCATCCAGGCAGGGAGGCTGGGACCCACCTGTGCCCACGCACAGTGCTTTTTTGCTGCGGCCAGTGGGTGTGTTCACGACTGGAACTTTGTGGGAGAGGGAGGGGGCTGCCTGTCTCCTGCCCCCTCTTTTTCCTTCCCTTCTCCCGGTGCTTGGCTTCTGCTGCCAACCTTACTTTTGCTTTCTTTTCTGCACCTTCTTTCATGCTGTATTTAAGCATAAAGGCTCGAATATATTAGGGGTGATATTGACAATGAAGGAGTTGGAAATGGGAACAGCACGGTAGTCCAGGGAAGATTTTGAGGGGCAAAGCGTATGCGTCTTTGTAAGCATCGGATGTTCATACTTTTTGAGCAGGCACTGAGCCAATCTAGACCAAAGTGGGTAGAAATGCAAAAATCCAAAGAAATAAATTTATAAGTAGGTAGATAAGCGACACAGGCAACTTCTGTGCCATCCCATATCACCCCCCCCCCACCATGCCCTATGCCCAGTTCTGTCAAAGTAACGCTGTTATCCCAGTAGAAACTGGAGGTAAGTATAAATATCCCAAATTGTACTCGTGCGGTTAGGCAAGCTAGAAAAACACACGGTGCTAGAGAGTGTGGGAGGCATCCCCAAACTAGTGACTACTTGTGCTTAGTCAGACTGGCAGACGCTCTCTCAGGAAGAGTGTCTTTGGCTGATTGATGGTAGCATTTTAGGAGATAAGTTTTCCAGATGGGGGGAAAAAAAAAGAGTTGAGCCATGGGCTGTGGGGGAGACAAGTGAGACAGAAAACAAGCATGTGTTAAATATAGATGAAATCGATTCAGCCTTGGAGCAAATATGTGGCAGATTCCAAGCAGTATCTCTGCTGCAGTCGTTTTTATTAGATATCATGTAACAGGCTCATTAATTCAGGATTAAGTCAGCAGAACCTGGGAAAAATGGTAGATGAGCATGTAGTGGTCATGTAAATTCCCTTTCTCTGTCTCTTACTCTGTCTTTGTCTCTCTCTGTCTCTCTTTGCATGAGATACTTTTGTAGGAGCCGGTAAGCAATTGAGGAGGTGGCTATAATCTTAATAGATCCCAGCTTTCCTGAAGGAGTCTAGTTCTCTTTATGATGTAAGCGTGAGCAGGGAATTCATGCCCGGTGATTCTTCAGGAGAGTAGTGAAGGCGGTATGGAATGTGGCATTCTCCACCAATGGACCTCAGTACAGGATTCTGATAGGTCGTGGGCGACACTGCCACTCTACTCCACCCGTTTTCTTCCTGTATTCCGTTTTCATTCAACATGTTCTACAAATTGAATCCTCTGTAGGGATTTGGGCAAACACGTGAGCTTGTTAGACGATTGGTGAAAAGTACAAGGGGCGCCTGGGTGGTGCAGTTGGTTAAGCGTCCGACTTCAGCTCAGGTCACGATCTCACGGTCCGTGAGTTCGAGCCCCGCGTCGGGCTCTGGGCTGATGGCTCAGAGCCCGGAGCCTGTTTCCGATTCTGTGTCTTCCTCTCTCTCTGCCCCTCCCCCGTTCATGCTCTGTCTCTCTCTGTCCCAAAAATAAATAAACGTTGAAAAAAAAAAAAAAGTACTTGATGGTCATAGTTTACGACATAGAAGTGTTCTGTGCCTAACATCAAGATACACAAATGTTCCTATGAAAGCTCGTGTCTTGAACAGAAGATATCTGGCTCGTTGGGGAACATTCTGGTTAAGATGTCAGGAACCGTGAAAATATGGTCAACCGCATGCATATTTGAAGCCATCAATGTATGAAATTCCTCCTTCGTTTTGTACTACTTTGAATCCTGGCACATCAGTGTCCATGTGATGTGTAACTATGTTAGCAATTTGGTCCTAACCCCTATTTGCATGGGCTTGTGGTTGAACAGTTTAGGCCTGATACTTAGCCAGAAATTGATATAAGATGCCGTAGAAGCAAA